CATCCTGAAAGAAGTTCCAGTTTGACGAGACTGGGGGACGGCAGCGAAAGGTTCGAGACACGCACAGGGCAGGAGAGCATCTGCCACTGTGGACCATGGGCTGTGACTAAAGGCCCCACTCTAGTCCTTTAAAAAGATCTGTCTAAGCCCAGTGTGATGGTGTGCACTGGTAATCCCAGCTCTCAGGAGGTTGAGGCAAGAGGATCAGGAGTTCAAGGCAGCCCTGTGTCTTTCACCTAGAATTAGGTCTCGGACACAGAAAATACAGGATCGTTTTTGAATAAATGACCAAATGTGACTACAAATTCAAATATGCAAAGAATCTGTTAGTGAGCTGTAGCGTACGTTATGTTAACGGTGCTATTGTAATTGTTCTGTATTGTTCTCCGAGCACAGTCTTCAGTCCTCACTTGTCTGCTCTCTTACATCATTTGTTATTATTCTTTTCACGTGCCTCCGACATGCCTCAGCACCTAAAGGGCTCAAGTATTTCCTTGCCAGCAAGACTGTGCTTCCTCAGCCTACGTTACGTCTGAAGTTCTCAGCATACCGGCTGTTCACGGGCACAGTGATGGGGAACATGGGGCACCCCACTTTTTATGTATAGGCCAATTGGTAAACATTTAAGACTTTGTGGTCATAGGCTCTCTGGAGCAACTCAACTGTATTCATGCTTGGGTTATGGCTTGAAAGCATACAGAGCCAATCATTTAATAAAAGGGTAGCTTTCCCCAATAAACTCATTTACGAAATCAGGTGTTAGCTTCCAATCCTTGTTGGGGAATCTCTGGGTAGAAGGGAACAGTATTTGGGGTAGGTTAGGGACCCAGATTTGAGGCTGTATTACTAATCTCAGTCTTTATAGTCTTTTAGCTAGAAAGTCACTTCTAGTGAACTCATCTAGTCTAAGAAGGGACTCCAACACAAACAGCATGATGCTTATCCACAGAGGACATTTTCCAAGGCCTGCAGTGGATACCTGAAACCATGGCTCTGACTCAGTCAATACACACTCAACATACAGTGTTATTTTTTTCCTATCTATGCATGCTTATGATGGTGTATGATTTATAAGTTACATATAGGAGACTGACAAAGTAATCAGTAATAAAATATTACATTGTAATGACACTTCACAGTGAGTTATTTAAAATAGGTAATTTCTGGAATTTTCCATTTACTGTAACTTAAATTGCAGCTAAAGGGTGGGGGCTACTGTACATCCTGGGAACTTATCCCCCAGCACCACGCGATGTCAGTTCATCAGCGCATAGCTCAGTATCATGGCCAGTGCACTCGATGCCTCTGACACTCACTGGTGGGAAGCAGACCATAAGCCTTCTTCTACATGTGGGAAAAAGTTGGAGGAGATTAGCAGATGCTTCCCACTACCCTCCCCAAACCCTTCCCGAAGATAGATAGTGGAAAATATGGAAGGAAGATAGCTAGACAGTGGAAAATATGGAAGGAAAGAAGCCCAATGTTATATAAAAAACTTAAGCCGGCAAGACTGTGGTCCAGAGCACTCTTAGGTGTCTGAATGCCTAAATCCTCCCCTACCCAAGCCAATCCCATCTGAATGGTAAGAATCTGGGCTTGCGTTTGCTCCACATTGCTAAGTGGTGTTTCTGTCTACACCCTGCAGCTAAGTTACTCATCAGTGTGACATTTGGCGGCACTTTCCTTTCTTCCTGTGCTGTGCTCAATTAAAGGGCTTCAAGGAACTAAGTTTTCTCCTCTAACAGCAGCTTTGCAGAGATCTAAAGGCGTCTATGGCTGCTCAGTAGACAGAACCTTACAGTACACACAGCCGTGACTCACAGAATTTGACCTTCAATAAACAGAATCCCTTTTACTAAGATCTTAGGAGTCCTGGAAGACAGAGGGCTGGGGGACACAGGTAGGGAGATCCTCCAAAGGGGCAAAGGAGTGTGGGGCTGTCAGTCACCTCTGCAGACAGCTGCAGACACTGTCAGATTGTGGACTTGCAGAGCAGGGAGGGACCTCAGTAACCTCCCAACCTGACCCTGGCATTTCACCCCTGCAAAAAGCAATGTCTGTCAGTTAAGACGGCTCACCTGGAACCTGGGTACAGTAGGTAACGTATACACTTAGAGACTGTACAACACTTAGAAAGATCGTAAGAACATGAATATATATTTGTATGGGACTCAATCATCCTATAGGAGAGAATGCATTGCCCCTGGAAGATCTAGCCCTAAGATTAACTTAGATTATTTAAGATCATCTAGAACATTCTGTTTCCTAGAGCCAAGGAAAAGCAGAGACCAGCTCTTTCTAAATGTTTTCAAGACAAGGCATCTATGGATACCAAGTTTCATCACTTGACTGAATATTCCACGAGGCTTCCTTTATTCCTATTACACCAGGTAGCATAAGGTCACTCTCATGCAAGTATATAATGTTCTTGAGCACAGCCCACCCATACCCATGACCACCCGCTGCCCACTCCCCACCCCTCGTCCCCAGCACCTTGCTCATTTCCTTTGTTATCCTACGTAGTTTCTTATATTTTCATACCTGTACCTATATGAGTTTCAGTATCTACATGAAATCAAAGACCCACAAGTAAGAGATAAATGTGAGACTTTGCCTTTGTGAGACTAAAATCACTCAATATGGCTATCTCCAGTTGCATCTTAACTGATGAGCCCATGTCCATCACGTCACTGATGTCTGAGTATAAGCTTCTAAAAATAGTGGTAGAATTCAACGAAACAGATGTGCAACTTACAAGGGGAAGACAGTCTATATGTCTGAACAATTCCTTCATCCCTCCCTTCCTCTCTCGTGGACGTTGTCCTTCTGGACTTCTATGCCTATCTTAGGATTCTCAAGAGGTCTGTGGTGAGATGGAGGCAGATGTGGAAGACCTTGACGAGGCAGCCAGGCCCACAAGGACACTACTGCAGACAACAGCCAAGGCACAGCAAGGCCACCCAACCTCACCTGACCTTGAGGACAGCCTTGGTCTCACCGGATCGTCTTTGTGGTTCCCTGTACAAACGACCCGTGTACACCAAAGGGATTCAAGCTCAGGGGCTGTCCTGAGAATGACACACAAGCTAGGGGCCCTGAGGACACCGGGCCGGGAAAAGCCAAGGCATACGCAGCTAAGGCTGTTTCCATCACTCAGCACTTCTCGCCTCCTCCCCTTCCTCCAGCTGTCTGAGAAAATTCACGGTTCCGTAAGATTTCTTTTTTTTTGCCCCCTCACCGCCGGCCCTGTAGTTTCTTCATTATTAAAGCAAATCTCACATCTAAGTAGAACAAAGATACGAATGGCTCTGCCTCCACTCACCCACATAACCACCAAAAACCTCATGGCTAACCCCACACCAAGTTTCAGAGTTGTTTTTTTTTAAACGAGCAAATCATAGATAGTTGTTGTTTTACTGTTGTGGCTGTGGCTCTGACGATCCAACCTTGGTGCTTTCTGCATGCTGGACAAGCATTCTACCACTGAGCCACACTTCCTTTTGTTCTCTCTCTCTCCCTGTGTGTGTGTGTGTGTGTGTGTGTGTGCGTGCGCGCATGCTTGAGCATCTGTGTATATGTGGAGGCCAGTGAACAATCTCGGGTGCCGTTCCTCAGGTGCCGCCTACCTTGTCTTTTGAGACAGGGTCATTCTCTCACTGGTCTGGAGCTGGCCAAGGAGGCTAGGCTCCTTGCTCAGCCAGTCCCAGGGGTCAGCAGACGACAGAGCACTCTCCTGACGGAGCTATCTCCCCAGACTCTCTGCTGTACTTTCTTAATTCAACATCTTTAGCAATAAAACTGAGGCAATAGTAGAGGTGTACTCGCGGCCAGAAAAAAAAAATGTAGAAACAAATGATTTCAACAACAACAACAAAGAGAGACAAAAGTCAAGGCAGCGGTGAAGCAGGCCTCTGGTTGGGAACTGTCCCGCACGGGTAGGCAGCGGCAGTATCAGCAGGGGAGAAGGGCCATTTATTCCTGCCACCTGAACAGGTCTCTGTCCTAACTCCAGCTCTCTTTCCACTCAGGGAAACACAGCCACTCCTTTCACAGTCCCTCCATCCCTGCGAAGCCTCCTGGCTCCTCCAGTCCGAACAGAGCTTCTCCTCTTCCTCACCACTTCATTACTCTGCCAGACAGAAGGCGCCCAGTGAACGCCTGTACACTGCATGGATAACAAGTAAGACTTACATCCTTCTGTCCTGTATCTTCATGGTATTTACATGTGCTTTTCCACTAAACTCTCAATTCTACTGGGGAGGATGCTGTGTGCTAAATCAGTGTTGTGTATGGTACATTGGATGCGTTTATCTGTACATCATAGGTACCCCATAATGTCTCACGAAGAGAGAGACATCCTCTAGGAAAAGACTTCACCTTGCAAAACTTGCACAGGCCTTCTGGAAATTCCATGTAAACTGCAGGCAGGCTAGCAAAATTCTAACTGGTAGATTCTTACCCACCCTCCTTGGTTTCTTGTTAGGAGAGCTGTTTGGGTTTTCCAACATAACCCAAAAAGAATTTGGGAGTGGGTTTTCTCTGTCTAAATGACTAGCAACACCTGCCTAACACCCCAATCTCAATTTCGCCTCCACCAAGTCACTGCCCACAGGACAGAATTATAGGCGTGAATCTGAGACAAAGGTTCTTTATGCTGTGTCTGGTCATTAATTAGCACCTGGAAACTTCAGGATGGGGCCATTAGAGTACTCATAAACCTTTGATTTTAAATGTTTTCGCTTGGCGGTGCTTCTGAGGTGACTCTCCTTGTGAGCTGGATGGAGGACATTCGTTCCTTAACATTTCTGAGGCTCATTAACTCCTCCCTTCCCAGTGGCTCATTAACCAGGCCATTAGGGACTCTGTCTCATGTAGACAGAAGCTTCCCTCGCCCTCCCCACACCTCTGCAGGCACCTTACACTGGGAGTGTGTGGGTCTAGCTGACGGCTTCCGCTGCGTGGTGGTGGTGGCGGGCTGCGAGAGGGCTGAGCTCACTCACCTGCTATTCTCCCAATGGGCATGGCGTGCTCTTCAGGTGGGGACACGGAGACCATGATGTGGTTCATGTAAGCCAGGTCCTCCCGGTGAGACAGGTTCATGGGCTTCCCTTCCCTATGCAGCCCGTCTTCAGAGAGCCGCGACTGTTTGAAATCCACTGAGTGCCGGGGGTTCAGGATCAAAGGGTGCATGATGGGGCTGGGCATCAGCTGGATCACTCGCGGGCTCTCCTGCCAGGGGCTGGAGGGCTTCGGGTTGGACTCCGAGGATGGTGGGCAGTGATTATTCTCCATAGGAGACACTGACAGGGGGTAGGATTCCTGGTGGTTGTTTTCCTGCTGAAGCCTGGGTCCCTGGGCCCTCTCCGCTGGTGAGAGGCGGCGGATCATGTTGTCCAGAGGGGACCGCAGGGGCCGCTGCTCGGGGTCAGGAGAAGGCCTGTGGTTTGTGGTGATGGGTGACCTAGGGCGATGTAAGAGTTCAATGGTGGGAGGGTTGTGGTGCACACTCTCTGCAGGTGGCCTGGGCGTCCTCTGGACACAGTTATCTGTGGGCAAAAGGAAAGACGATCACAGATCCCGGCAAACGTGCAGCCCTGTGACCTCACAACTGCTCTGTAGGCAGCTGTACTGGGGCACGGAGCCTCTCTAACCCAGAGCCCCATGTCTGTCCCTTTTCTCAAAACAAAACACACCTGAAATCGCTTTCCTGCCCCAGACAAGCTAGGAAGGAATGCCCATTGACATTCCACCCAGGATATGTTGGTGCCTGATAAACACAAGGAGCCCAATTCCCGTCTTTATCTTGTCCTCGCTGGACTCTCCTCTGCAGGTTCCAGAGGTGGAGGGTTCTTAGGATTCTCTCCAGAAGCTCTGGTGAGCTTCCATCTTCATTTTCTCTATCTCCAGGGGTTGTTACCACTGATAACAATGATGATCACTGATGACTCTATTCTAGGTACTGGGTTTAATTCTTTAAAACGGAATACTCTTAAGGAGATACACTATTATTCCCGCTTCACAGATGATAAAATGGAGTCACAGGTAACTCACCCCATGTGGCCAATGGATAAAGGATTAGAATCAGATTCTAAAATCTGCACATATCCAGCACTTTGTGTCACACAGACCCCCAGGGTATAAAATCAAACAGAAACCTGCTTTCAACAGCAACAGTTGGTGTTTGGATAGAATGGTGATTTTATACTTGAGAGAGCTTTTAGAAGCTTGCCCTTGAGTGCATGGATCTTACACAGGCTCAGAGTTAGTAGAGGCAAGTAGAGGAAGGGCAGATGCATGGGTACCCCAACAACACATGCTCCCCACTGAACTTGAATTTACATGCGGCTGAGGGCAACCCTGGAAGTGTAGACAGCTCCAGAACTGAAGTAGCTGTGGGGCCGAGCTGAGGCTGGACCAGCTCACGGGTGATCTGGATTCCCTTTGAAAGTTCAGTCCAGGTATCTGCCCATAAAAACATGTGAGCTCACATCTACCTTTATGGGGTACTCTAGCCATGTATGTTCCAGGGGTAGTCTCAGCAGAAGAATGAGCACTTCAGCTGATCCCTATTCTGGTCACAGACTTACCTGCAGTTCTAAGTGTTAAAACAATGCCAAAGATAATACCCTTGTCTAGATGTAGAACCTGAAAAGGGGAAATGGGCCTCTACCAGGGTTAGTAGTCAGAGAAAGAGGTGGGGTTCCCTTAAGGTTTATACTGGGTTAGCATGAAAAGGGAGGTTTTTTTTTTTTTTTTTTTTTTTTAATTTTAAAAATTCCACTACATCTCCCTGATCACATGAGGCGGTGAACAAAAGGAATGCTGAACACGGCATTTGAGACTCACAGGAAGGGAAAGTATCTGTTTCATGACTATTGTATGATCTGTTGTCATAAATTCAAAAAACCCTTCTTCATTGGGACAAATATCATAGGATACTTGTTTAATAATCTAGATTACTAAATAATAGAGTACTAATCAACTGGGAAAAGGAATGAGAGCTATCTCAAAATTTTGCTGAGGGCCAGCATGCAGGTGATATGGCCAGATAGGAAAGGGACAGGAAAGGATTCAAAACTGCCGCCATTCATCTGGCGAGAGAAAGAGGAGTTCCAGTTGCGATAGTGGCCAAACCTCCTACACATAGACCTTATAGACACTGGATATGATACACCCAAAAAAGCTCCTACACACAGACCTTATAGACACTGGATATAATACACCCAAAAAACCTCCTACACATAGACCTTATAGACACTGGATATGATACACCCAAAAAACCTCCTACACATAGACCTTATAGACACTGGATATGATACACCCAAAAAA